TGAGGTAGAGATAAAACATACCATTGAAATATTCCATTACTGGTGTACTTAAAAGAAGTACTCGGGATCTTTTTCAGGGGGATAAGACAACATGCCACATTTATTGATCACACATAAAATAATCAATACTTATCATATGCATATGACACCTCATACTCATGCACTCTCACACACACAACCACACTCCGTCTTGTTGTTACCAAAAGTTGCTCCCCCTAACTGCACTGGCCAGGTGAGTTAGATGGGGGAGGGGGTGGAGCCGGGCTTCTGCTGATCCGGATCGATGGTCGCATGTTGACAAGACAAAAACCCGGGGTCCCTCTGCAAGATGCCTCCTATTTATCCCTCTCATGCAGCCAATTAGTCATCAACTGGCCTTTCCTAATGCTGTTTCAAAGAGAGTTCTTCAGAGGGCAGGCACTTGCTGCTTGACTCCCAAGGCGTCTGTATGTCCAGTCTTCTTAATGAGCTCACTTTGTAGGTATTGTCTTGGGTTTGGCTCCCAGACCCTCTCCACCCTTGCAACTGCTGCTGGAGGTGCTCCCCTTTCATTCTCCATTCACACCTCATTCATTTCAACAGGGCAATCAAGGAAAGGGGAGAGCTCAAAAGACATTTTTTCTTACAAGATCTATATATCTTAATACAAAGTTCTAGGAGAAATGTTCCAGAGATTCTATAAGAACACAAAGATATATCTAAAAGGACAAGATCTCAATACAAAGTATAATATCACAGGGATTTCTCCACATTGTCAGTTCTTGTCCAGTTCATCCTTCATCTGTCTGCTACAAACAAAATGCAGGACAATGTAGCACTTAAAAGACTAACAAGATGGTTTATTAGACCCACTTCCTCAGATCAAATAGTGGAAGAAAATAGTCACAACCATATATACCAAAGGATACAATTAAAAAAATGAACACACATGAAAAGGACAAATCACGGGAGAGGGGGATGTTTGTGAGTTAATGGTATTAGAGGTGATAATTGGGGAAGCTATCTTGATAATGGGTGAGATAGTTCAAGTGTTTGTTCAATCCTCTTTGGAGAGTGTCGAATTTTAACATGAATGACAGTTCAGAGGATTCCCTTTCAAGTGCAGATGTAAAAGGTCTTTGTAGCAGAATGCAGGTGGTTAAGTCATTGAGAGAGTGTCCTTTCTGGTTAAAATGGCAAGAAACTGTTTTTTCTTTGTGATCTTGTCTGATATCTGTTTTGTGGGCATTAATCCTTTGGCGAAGTGTCTGAGATGTTTGTTCAATGTACATAGCAGACGGACACTTTCGGCACATGATAGCATAGATTATATTTCTGGATGCGCAGGAATATGTGTTCTTGATCTTATAACTCACTTGGTAAGGTCCAATAATGGTATCAGCAGAATGAATATGTGGGCAAAGCTGGCAACGGGGTTTGTTGCAAGGGAAGGTACCAGGGTTGGTATTTGTGTGGTATGTCCTGTGGTTGTTGGTAAGAATCATCTTGAGGTTAGGTGGTTGTCTATAGGAGACTATGGGTCTGTCTCCCAGAGCCTCTTGGAGTATGGTATCCTGTTCCAGGATAGGCTGTAGTTTATTGATAATGTGTTGGACAGGTTTAAGTTGGGGGTTGTAGGTGATGACAAGTGGTGTTCGATTGTTGGTTTTCTTGGGTCTGTCTTGAAGTTGATGGTTTCTAGGTATTCGTCTGGCTCTTTCAATTTGCTTTTTTATTTCTCCGGGTGGGTAGTTGAGGTTTATAAATGCTTGGTAGAGATCCTGAAGCTTCTGGTCTCTGTCAGTGGGATTAGAGCAGATGCGGTTGTATCGAAGGGCTTGGCTATAGACGATGGATCGTGTGGTGTGTTCTGGATGGGAGCTGGAAGCATGTAGGTAACTGTATGAGTCGGTGGGTTTTCTGTAGAAAGTTCTACATTTCTATCACTATGCTACAAACAGTGATTCTGTTTAAATGATTTCAACTGCCCAACTCACCTGTTCATTTAACTGAGTCCTACAGTGAAATTGTTGTGCTGAATGTGGGACATCAAAATTAATTTACAAGCCACAAAACATGTGGCTCTATAGGAGCCAAGGCAAGGAAAACTGATCTGTGAAAGGAAAGGCTCTTATTCAAATAGAGAGCTTCAGTAATTAGCAAGCAGAAAATACAGCCTTGTGAAGTTGATTGAGTTCTGCTCCTCATTTGTGTGGAAGATCTCGTTAATATTCATACTTGGATTGTTCACCTATTTTATGCTTTTTCTGAGTTTGAAAGCAAATAGTTGCTTTGCTTTACTCCTCCCCCCATTTCAGTAGGGTACTTTTTTTTTAATGTGCTCATGAGGACGTTATTAATTTCAATGCGATTATTTCTCATAGTAAGATTAAGCCTTGTGGAATTAGCATATTCCTGTAATTAACATGCTAAACCCAGGTCTGTTTGTTTCTTTGGGAAAATCAATTACATACCAAGTCTCAAGGGTGTGAGGCTTCATCATGATCTATTTTTTTTGTACAAAAATAGCAGATTGAAGGATTTTAAATGAGGCACTACAGAAATATTGATTTTGTTCTGAAACATATTTTATTCAAGAAATCACAATATTGTTGCCTTTGAGTCTGATGGAAAGCAAAGGGAGTGTGTTTTGCTGAAGCATAACCATTTATTCAGATTTATACTATAATTAAGAAGGTCCTAGCCAAAATCCCAGACACCTTTGCCGCAAATTACAAACTTAAAATTGACAGTTTACTGCTGTCATATTGGAATCCCTAAAACACAGAACTCCCCTTCCCCATGCAAATCTACACCCCATCCTCTGTAGCAGTCCCTGTGAATTACTACTTGTAGTGTGCGTTGAAGCTTAATGGACCCAGCTGTGGATGCAGATGCCTGTGGATATAAAGCTGAGATCCGCAAATTTGCAGGGTTCTAGATTAAAAAAATGTATCCGCATCTGTAGCTGCAAAAATTAGCTGGGGAGATCCACATCCACAGATGTGAATACCCACTGATATAAAGTTGATAGTCATGGAGTTGCAGATCTCTACTAAGGATGTTAAGAAGCAGGTAATCGGCTAATCATTTAGTAGATACAAATTAGACTATCGACTACACAATTAGTTGATAAGGGGAGGTGCTTTGTCTCGGATCCAGGAGCTACCCGCACTGTAGCTCTTCAGTTTAGCCTGGCTCCTACTACATTTAAACTTCAGAGTTGCAGTGGGGGTAGGTCCCAGACCTGGCGCAAGCCAGGACTGATCTGGGCTTCCTTACTCCCAGCTCGCGCCGGGTCCAGCAGCCCCTGTCCACGGGGGGTCCTAGCTGGGATGCAGAGCAGCCTCTGCTCCCACTGCAGACAGAAACTGCCTCACAGCAGCCTCCCCTGCCCGCCTGCCCTCCCCCCCCACGCATCATGGAGATGTATCCAAGGTAGCAAGGGGAGGTAGTCAACTCAACTACCTGATAAGCTGAGGCCTAGGCTGTAGTCAACTACTCGAGTAGTTGCTTACATCCCTAGTCTCTACACGTAATGCGGCTGAGAAACACTGCTCATAAATGTTTATCTTAAGTTTTTTTTATTGTGTTTGGGTGTTACCACATCTTTATGAAATCAGGAAAATGAGTAGAGGGGATGTTGCCTCACGAGGGCCCATTCCAGGAGACCAAGGACTGCACTGTGCTACATGCCCTATGGGAGGAGCTCTGTGCACTGGCCCTGCCTGCAGCACAATCCTCACAGCTCCCGTTAGCCAGAAAACATCACACACACCACCCTGGGACACGCAGTTAACCGTTTAACTGGAGGGCTGGTGGAGCTCAGTGGTAGGGGTCCTGTTAGCCAGCCTGCCACAGGTGAGGGGGGCTGCTCCAGCCCAGCCATGCCGTGGGTGGGGGAATGGGGCTGCTCTAGCCCCGGTGTGCCGCAGACCCTCCAATTAACCAGTAAGCATGCCAGTAAGGTTAATGTTTACCAGGTAACCTTTTACATCCCAAATGGAAATGTAAACTACAAGATTATGTGCAGACTGAGTTATGAATATAAGGAATCAAAAAAATATTAAATTGAGGTCATTCATCTACTCAGGATCAATGTGCACTGGAAATGAAAATAACCATTGCAACAGCTAAACAAAATTTGTCTTTGCTGCAGAGAGGTCTGATTAATAGTCTGTGTGTGTGGCCCTGCTTACACAAAGAAGGTTTGCAGATAGTATGGTAAATCTACTTCTTCAGTATACTTGTCTCCTAATTATAATTCTGCCTCGCCAACTTGATTGAGTAAATAGCTTAATTGTTGGGGGTTATTTAGCTTTGTTCTAGGAGAAATTACCGTGAGGGTAATTTTCTAGTGAAAAGGCTGTCCAAATGAAAGTACTCAATGGCAAATTGTAGATGACTGCAGTGGAAGAGGAAAAGTTTTGTTGTTTCAATTTTGAATGGTTTTAGGCAGGGACAGACTTTGTTTTACATGCAGCCCCTGGCACTGTAGGACCGCTATCCTTGATTTGGGCCTCTAGGCACTACTGTGCTTTAAATAACACCAGTTGATTTGGACTCTACAGCAGATCATTTGACTGCACTAATATGTTTTGGAGAATCTGGAGTACTTCTGAGTTGCATTTTTGTCAGACGAGGAAGCATTTTGGAAAGATTTTGACCAATGAATGTAAAGTCATCTGACACTGTTTACAAGATTTCAACAATAACAGACCTAATCTAATCAGATTTTAGATTGCAAATTCTTTGGAGCAGAAAACCCTGTCTGTTTTTTAAAAGCTTCGTGGATGTATCTGGTATTATTTTAGTAATAAGTCAGATCATATAAACCCTAGTCACTTTGGTATTATCCAATGACCATAGTAAAATAAGATTCTCTGTATCCGATTGTTGCAGTTTATTAAAGAGTTTTTTAAATAAATGAAAACCGGTCTTATGAAATTGCAGCTAAACTATTGCCTTTTCTCCCCCCTTCTTTCTTCTTTTAAAAATAAATCTTTTCATCCTTTTCCCAGGAATTCTCATCGAGTACGGAAAGTCTTGATAAATCATTCTGTTCCGTAAGTTTGGCCAGTTTTATTCTAGTGGCTGGGTTGCCTCGCTTCCTTATTTTACAGCAGCATTTCCTCTGTGCCCTGAAATACTAATCTCTGGTCACCTGACAATGGGGTTTAAACAGCTCTGATATAAAGCCACTCCATGTAGAACACTGCACTGCCTAAGCCTTGTTTGAGAAGAGCAAGCCTCTTTCTATGCCAGCATTTTATGCCGAGTGCATGCCTTTTATTGGCTGAGTCCTCTTGAGCTGTAGCATAGTTCTGCTATCCTGTCTTACGCAGATGCAAAACAGAGAAGGTGATAACATTTTGATCTGAACACTAGGATACCATTCGTCCAGTTTATGCTTTTCAATAGTCTGCAGTGAAATACAAGTTAAACAGAGCTTTGGACAGTTTTGCTTGTACAATTTTGACTAAACAAGCCATAAGAGTGCCTGTAAGTTAGATATGATAACTCAACAATAAACACCCAAGCAATTGAGTTAAAACAATTGTGTTTAAAAATAAATTAAAAGTTCAACACAGGTGAATAACTTGAATACTCATTCAAATCCTTCTGTGTTTTCTCCCCTCTAGTTAGAGGAAATGCTGTTTTCCTTAATTTTTCTTCCAAGTTGTTTGCAAATGGAATTTAATTTGCTTTTTCCTAAAAAAAATCAGTTTTCTGTCTGAAATTACTTTAGAGCAAAAATGATCTTTTCCTAATAAATCCTCTCTTAATATGAAAGATTTTTCATTTTTAATCAAGGGCATCTCTCTCTCTAATTTGTACCATTTTCCTAACGGTGCACATTCTCACTTTGGGATTCCTAATTGGCTTCCCATGCATTGAATATGAAGTCCATGATCACTTATCAAGAGCTGTGGGGGTTTCTTTTTAATATAATTATTTACAGTGTCTTATATCCCATTTTGAATAATGTTAAATTCCTCGTGTGTTAATGAGGTCTTGGAAATGTACCTGTCTGTATCTTGCTCCTCTCAGTAGGTTTGAAGTTTTATCATGTTCTAGGATTATTTCACAGTTGCTTTGTGTGAAATGGTAAGGAAAGAATGGTAAATGAAACCTTACAGTGGGCTCATAAGGTGACTCAATGCTGTTCTTCTATAACTAATTTAGAAGCAATTTAAAAGCAACGCCTTGAACTGGGTCGCATTTGATTCACTCCGCCAAGCTTAATATATATGTTAAGGATGATATTGTGTCTTCTGAAGAGGCAATGCAAGCTAGTGCTTAGAGCAATGAAAACTGAGACCAAGACTCTTGGGGTTTAGTTTCTAGTTCTGCCACTGAATTGTTGCATGACCTTGGAATATTTTTCTATGCCTCATTTTTTCTGATAAAAAGGATAATATTTAAATATATCCATGGGGTTGCTGGAAGGCTTAGTGTTTCTAAAATGCCTTCATATCCTTTCATAGAAGGACTGTAAAAGAGCAAAAACATTACTATAGTGTGTAGCTATAGTTATGTTACCTTCCTATAAGTGATTTCAGTTTGTAGTTCTCACATCAGTGTTGCTTGAGCTGTCAGATCCACTTAGAATTTAAATGCCTTTTCTGGAAACTGAAGGGTCTCAGGGTGGTGTTGACTTCTGCTTTTCTCCCTCAGGAGACAAATCTATTCTTCAGGCTTGGCTAACCTTAGTTATTTGTGTCATACTTTGAACATAGCAAGCCTTTATTGTAGCCTTTCCAGACTCTTTGCAAACATTTATGTCCTATTTATAAACCAGCTGCAGACACCTGAGCCTAGCTAAATTGCCTAGATTTTTTTATACACATGTATGAGGCATGTGCTATTCCTCATAATAAACATTGTTAACTTTGAAATCTAGTGGGTAGTGTACAGCTAGCTGGAAGATTCCAGATGCCTTATAGAATATCAGTCCTAGTCTATGCTCTATTTCTGTAAAGGCCCATGGCTTGCTTCGTGTCCTACAGACCTTCCGTATCTACTTTCAGTGTATCAGGTAATAATCTCCAGCAATTTAGTAGTGGAAGTGAAAGAACATATAAGCTAGGCTGAGAAACTGGATATAACTGAGATTCTACCATAGATAGCGCTGAGACTGCTCTTACGGCATTGCTCAGTTCTGGGCACCAGAATGATATAAACTGGAGGGAGCTCAGGAAGAAAGCAAAAAAATGTGGTGAGGGAAACAGGAGGGGGATTGAATTTAGAAAATACTGTTTTATAGCCTGGCTAAGTAGGTTCATAGCAGTGTACAAATATTTGAAGGCTGCACACTCCAAGGAGAGAGTGGAATTGCTGAGAGTAGACCAAATGGGATATGGAGGATAATATAGGTGGTAAGGAAAATACAGGTCGGACATCAGGAAATGCTTTTTTGACAACAAGATCTCTTAGATTGTGGAAGAGTTCCTTAAGGGAAGTGAGGAAACCAGCCCCTCCCACTTGGGACACTTCAAAATTAAACAGGGCAGAAGCCCTAGGGGAAGAAGAGCTGAGGGGGTGGAGATGGTGCTTGTGTGAAATAAGATGAACATGACTTACTATGGCATGGAGGGAGGAACATGCTTATGAAAGGAGAGTTGCTAGAGGAGGCAACCCAAGCTCTGGTCCCTAAACCACTCATCTTAACTCCTGAGCAAACCACAGGACTTGCTCCAGATTAAACCAAAATCCTCTTCCCCCCTCTCACAGCCTGAGCAAAGCAAATGCCTGGTTCTGATTAGGGATGTAATAGTGTAGTTGATTAACCGATAAGCAAAAGTTTATAGGCTAATGCTATAGACTATACACATTCCTCCCCCCACACTTACCAGTAAATTTTTTAGCAGGCTGGTCAGTAGCCCAGCTCAGTCCTGGCTTGCGATGGGTCCAGGACCTACCCCTGCTGTGGCTCTGCATTTAAAGTGTATTAGGAGCCAGGCAGGCAGGCAGCCCAGCTCAGTTTCGGCTCACACCGGGTCCGGGAGCTCAGACTCCCCCACCCCCAGACAAGGGCTGCTGCCACCCGTGCCGCTGCCTCTTTATCAGAGGCAGCAGCACAGGGTGAGGGGGAGCTGTTTTTTAAACTGGCTCCCCTCACTGACCAGCTCCTGCCTGGCACTCCACAGGCAGGAAGCTCCTTGGGAGTGAGGCACACTGGCTGCTGGCCCTGCCCCCAGGGACTATAGAGTAGTCGACTAACCGATAAGAATTCATGAAGTTACTCAACTATTCAATTAACCGATATTTAACATCCCTAGTTCTTATACCTGCAAGATAGTATACTGTGTGAGCTTAGGGTGTCAGTTTATCTGGGCTGTATTGAGAACTGGATTAAGGCCCATTGTGGTTATTCTCAGTGCCCAGACCAAGCCAGGGTTGAACTCGTTCTTTTTAGAGGACCGAATGGTTTTAAAGCTCTGCCAGTTAACTGTGGTGCTGTAGTAGCAAGGAAGTGTTTATACTGGTTCAGAGAATGCTGGAGTGATACTTAACTATGCTAAGAACCTGGAGGAATAAGGGTTCGCTTTCACCTCTCTGCTTGGCCTCAGGAGTTAGTTTAGTGTCATGATCTGGCTAATGCTGGAATTCAAGTTTGCATTGGTTTAATTCAGTCTGTCAGCCCTTTCTGCAGTTCATTGGCTGGTATATAGAGGCGGGGCTCAGGTTGCTGTTACCATTCAAGGTCAGTGACAGCCTGGATCCAGTGGGGTGTTTACATTTTCCAAAGTGGCCCCTGTAACAAGATGCAAGGTGGTGATTAATTTTCCATACTGTGTTGACACCACAACAGAACAAAGCGCATGAGGTGCTTGGCCCCTGGGAACTTAGTAGTAGTAGCCAATAGGGAGGCCATTTCCTGACAGTTCACTACTGACTGGAGGAATTGAGGGCCTGAGGTGGCTCAGAATGCAGATAATCCAGACAGACTTCCAGGAAATGTCCATGCAGCGTTGTTGTAGCCATGTTGAATGCAGGATATTAGAGAGACAAGGTGGGGGAGGTAATACCTTTTATTGGACCAACTTCTGTTGGAGAGAGAGAGAGTGCGCTTTTTAGGCTTATAAGGTTTTCTTCTCTGGAGAGCCCAGGACCCCTGCATTCTACCCTGCCTCTGACGACATCTTTGTGCATGTTACTTCTCTCACTCTGTTTCCCTCTTTGTAAAATAGAGTTGATGATAATGACTTAAGTGCCAAGTGTTAACTCACTTGAGAGGCTGGGAGGCTTAATTGGTTAAAGATTGGGAAGCGTTTTGCCAAGGAGAAACATGGTATGAAAGCTAAGTATTAAACCCTTAAAACAGTTTACAAAACAGGAGAACATAAGATGTCAAAGCAATGAGCTGAATTGTGTGTAGCCATAGCTTTATCAGTGCTTTCTTCCTGACAGATCAAGACACAGACAGTCCCCTCAACGCAAGCAGGGTTTCATAATGTTCTGCTATGTTGATGCACTTTGGATTATGAACGAATGGAAATCTTAGTGGACACAAATCATAAATCACTACTGCAGTTGTAACCCATGCACCTAGTGTGGTTCACTGTCTCGTGTAGTGACACTTAGTACACTTACAGCAAGAGATAACAGGTGAGCTCTACAGTCTAAACTGAGGCAGTTGGCTTTATAGCTCATCAAGCTGTAGAGGCTCTTATATTAAGCTCCAGAGACCCCAGGTTCAAATCTATCCGTTGGCAGTTACACAGTGACTAGGTTTTATTGAATATATCTAGTCTGTGCAAGGCTTGAAAGGGTCAACATTATTAAATTATGCTGTTTGATTTTTGTATGTGAAATTATCAGATGCACATGCACACCAAAGACATAAATTGACTTGGGCTATGTGACACAGCAAACTTTAAAACAGTAACAATAATAATAATGAGCTAGTGCAGTATTTTGGGGTTTCAGTTGAACCAGCCTAAAAGATTCGGTGTCATGGATACTTCTGGAGGGTTAGACTATTTGTTTTGACTAGTTTGCACCTAAGCTTGAGGTAGTGGGCCTGTTGGCATCAGGTTGGTGGTCAGAAACAAGAAGGGACCGAGTTACTAGATATGCACTGAGATAGTTACTGTATAGTGGGCAGTGGAGTCAGGATGCCAGTTGGAAAGATAGCATACAGACTGTGATTCCACTTGGGATGGGGATTGTCGAACTAGGGTATTGGACCTACAGGATGCGGTCCTGCTGTGAGTATGCTAAAGGGCCTAACATCAAATCGTAGAGGGTTTTTAAATATTCATGCTATGCCTGGTGGTTGTAATTGATCATGCTGCCTTGGATGCTATGCAAACATTTCCTCCTTTCCCAGGGACATCTATACTTCGCTAGCCAGCATAGTATAGTGAGGGAAAGCTGCTGCTTTCAGTAGGATGGCTGGCTGTTTTATAGAGTGTGGTGCTACGCTGACGTATCAAAACATTTTCATGTGAACTACTGCTGAAAACTAAACGTCTCTGCTCTTACAGAGGATGGGGAAGGACATTAATGTTAACTAGGTGGTTACTTTTCTTTTTTACCAACTTCTCTTAGTCTTTCATGGTTCTAAAAGGTGCTCTGTTATAATGTTTTCTTTGCTATCTTTCCCCATGCTACATAGCTTTTGCATGTGCATTTCTAGCATGATTGGTGATGGGTGCACTTTACAGCTTTTGGTTCTGTGTCTTTAATGGCAGCATTCAACCAAAAACTTCTACCATTTCAAGTTACAAGTTCTGCTGCTCATAATGATTAGAACTCTGCTAAACCTGCAAAATATAGCCACCACATTCACAGACAAGTTGACAGTTAAAAGCTTAAACCTGCACTTTAAGCTTGAAGTTTAATTTAAGGATGTTAAGTAGAGGTTAATAAGCTAATCAAGTAGTCGATGGAATTTCCATTGACTAGTCAATAAAGAAGTTAGCTCCTGGGGGTGACGCAAGATGGGACTAAGCAGTCCTGGCTCACACTGGCTCCAGGACCACTGCACCTCTGCTTTTTAAATGTAGTAAGACCTGCTTGGCACTTGCAACAATTAAAAGACAAAGCTGCAGCAAAGGACCCAGTGCAAGCCAGAACTGAGCAGTCCCAGCTCCCACTGGGTCCCAAACCTCTGTGACTGCTTTTTAAATGTAGTAAGAGCTGCCTCTCCACACCCACTTGCTCCTAATACAAGAGGCAGCAAGGGGAGGAAGCGAGTAGTCGAGTAGTGACTCAGCTACCCAATAAGCCTAGGCTTATCAAGTAGTCGACTACTCGGCTAGTCGCTTACATCCCTAGTTTAATCCCCCATAAAATGGTCAGCAGTCGAGAAATGATCCTCAGAGTTTAAAAAAAATACTCTCCCCCACCCCCCCAAACCTAACAAAGTAACCGTGAGGCTGATAGAATTAGAGAAAAAGATCTGGGCTCCCTCTAATGGTTTTCCAGGAGTAAAGACTTAACACTGTGGCCAGATCTGAGCTGTTGCACAGACATGAATAAGTGAACAAAAATGGCTGTGTTAAATTAGCACCACTAGGGGATTGTGGAATGAATATTTTTATTTTAATGGAAATAGCCAGTTTCAAGGTGAATGAAATGCTCAAGGGAGGTTTTTGTGTTCAATATACAGAAAGTAGAAAACATTTTTTGTGATGTCCTGTTTTACACTTCCCCTTATGCACAAGAATATCACAGGTGGTGGAAGCTTCTCTTCTTTGGGAGGTTATCCCAACAATTTCAGACACACACAGTTGTTCCCTCATAACTCTCTTCTCCTGCTTCCTTAAAACATTGTAGCCTGTCAGACTTGCCCCAGAGAGAGAATTCATCAAATCACTGATGGCCATCGGGAAGAGACTGGCCACTTTGCCCACCAAAGAGCAGAAGACTCAGCGTCTTATCTCAGAGCTGTCTCTACTTAACCACAAGCTTCCAGCACGTATCTGGCTTCCCACAGCCGGCTTCGACCATCATGTGGTGCGGGTACCCCACACCCAGGCGGTGGTGCTCAACTCCAAGGACAAGGTAAGAGGGGTCGAGCGAGGAAGGTGAATTCTGTTGAAGCGTTTTACGATTGGCACTTCCCTTAAAAGCTAACTTCAGAGAACCCAATGTTATGAGTGTAGTTCACCGCATCTTCTGGAAGTGTAGCTAAATAAATCATTCAGCTTCTGTCAATAAGGCATAAATAAGATTTACATGGCCGGGCCGGTCATCCCTATATGGTACAGAGATATACCAGGTAGAACAGCACACAGCAGCCCTGTTGCTTCTCTGCAATTGTCTGGCCTACATCGCTTGAGAAGGTCAAGGCCTCGAGAATGGTAGGAAGAGGAGTCCATGCAAGGGTAGAGTCCGGAGCAGGCTTAGGCGAGAGGAAGATTCCCCAAAGTTTTCTCGTGGTGGATTTGAAATGTTCCTGGATTCAGGTCCCTCTTCAAACTATAGCAACAGCCCTTCAGAAAAGCAGTGACCTGGTTTCAGTGCTGTGTGATAAAGACTGGCTTTCAGAGGTGCTGAGCAGCGTAACTCCCATTGAGGTAAGAGGGACCCACAGGCATTCAGCATCTGAGAATCCAATGATGATGGAAAAATCAGTCAAAGATATTAGGGTAAAATTCTTAGCTGGAGTGTACCTGAGCTACTGGCATCTGGGGCAGAATACAAGATTATTTTTGTAAAGAGCTGCTTCTCTCTGGCCCTGATCTAGCAAAAGCTCTTAAGCATGCAAGCGCTCCCATTAACCTCAATGACACAGCTCGTGTGTTTCAAGTTAAGCGTGTGCTTTGCTAGGTCAGTGCCAAAATGTGCAGCACCTTGCAGGCTTGAGCCCTCCATACAAAGCAGAAAACGTTACGTGTGTGGGAGGGGGGGTTATGTCTTTTTTTCTTCTTCTAGTGGTTGTAGGTAGTTCTGTATTGATGTGAATGTTATTGATGTTTCTTAAACATTAGACTAAAATACCTACTTCGGTGTCTGCTCAAGGCAGTTAGCATCTGACTCTAAGCAGATCGTGTTCCATTTACCTTACTCTGTGGCTGCATCTACACTGCGCTGTTTTGCACAGTAAATATGCAAATGAGGTAAAGCATGGAATATTGTTGTGCCTCATTTGCATAATTAATGAGCGGCTGCTTTTTGCACAAGAGACATTTGCCCACATAATTATGAGCGGCTGCTTTTTGCACAAGAGACTTTTGCCCACAAAGGAGTCATCTACACGGCTCCTTTTTGCACAAAAACCCCCTCTTGCACAAAAAGCAGCTGCTCGTTAATTATGCAAATGAGGCACAGCAATATTCCATGCTTCACCTCATTTGCATATTTATTGCGCAAAACAGCACCGTGTAGACGTAGCCTGTGTGTGTGTGTGTGTGTGTGTGTGCGCACTAAACAAGTTGAAACACTTCTGGCTTCAAGATACTGTAGTATTCTTTTATTAGTTTCTCTGTTTTTTCACTGTCAGTACAAATAACTATAATCCCCTTCCTACCTTAATCTGGAATGTAACTTAAAAGTATATTTATTGGTTACAGGCTTTAATCACACACCAGTCATGGTGCCACTGAAAATTGTAGCAAGAGCAGCAGGATCTAGGGCTCAGAGTCAGGAACTCCCAAATGTGAAATTAGCTTGGCCTGTGATACACAAACATCTGTGTTCCCATTTGTAAAAAGATTCAGCTGAACCCTTGGGTATTTGGAAGACGACAATAATTATTAATCACAGTATTATGGTAGCAAGTAGGACGACTCATCATGGGCCAGGGCCCCACTGTACTAGGCACTATTCAAATACAGAACAAAAGATATAAACTCTCTGGAGAAGGGACTTGTCGAAGGGTGAGATGAGACAGCAGCAGTGTCCCCTGTATGCTGTGTACTTGTGTGGCCACTCAAGAGATTCAGATGCCGCAGAGCTGATAAGCAGAGTGCCCAGAGCTAGGATTCTGTTTCTGCTGGTGGTGCACATTGGCATATGCCTTGGTGCACATAAAAATGTATTCCACACAGAGATGGAAAAGATTAAAGGGAACATTGGACAGCAGGTGGACTGATTTATGTTCAGGGTGCTGTGATGATGGAAAAGCTGACACTGGCCAGTGTTAAAGGTGAACTGCAAAGCGAGAGAGAAATGAAGGACTCTCACCCTGGCCAGTGTAAGTTGTGTCACTCCCTGTTGGTGACATTTGTGTTTGCTTCCCTCAGGCACCCTATTTAATCTATGTTGAAGTACTTGAATGTGAAAATTTTGACACCACTAACGTGCCCGCCCGGATCCCGGAGAACCGCATCCGGAGCACGAGGTCTGTGGAAAATCTGCCAGAATGCGGGATCACTCATGAGCAGAGGGCCAGCAGCTTCACCACGGTTCCCAATTACGACAACGACGATGAAGCCTGGTCTGTGGATGATATCGGGGAACTGCAGGTGGAGGTGAGGCAGCCAGTGATGGTGAAGTCCAGCTGCCCTGGTCACTAAGATTAGAACCCCAAGACAGACAAGTCCCAGCTGTAGAACCGTGTCCCTGTGATAAGGGAGAGGGAACATTCGGTGCAGCCTGTTAGACTTTGAGATACCTCAGCCTCTCCCGTGCTTAGTTGGCTCCTGTTGGTGACTCCTTGCAGCCAAGGAGGCCTGAATGCGATGGTTTGTGGGATATACAGCCAGAGTGCAGTCACTTGAGTGGATGGCACCAGGGTTTGCCTCTTTGTCACGCTCAGCACGATGCCTCTACAGCTTTGTCTGTAATGCCGTACTCCTTCCTGTCCTGGGTGTGCTGCGGTGAGTGAATTAGCAATAGCACAGCAGCACTGAAGAACAACTTTGGGAATAAGCAACTTCCCAACAATGATCGTGGGAGGAGTAGTTGCCTGGCTTGCGAAGGAGTGATGTGTGCAAGAGAGCTTCTCTTGTGAGCAGCCTCTTGTGCACTGAAAGCTTCTGTACAACGCAGCACGTGCCAGGCCCGGAGTACAAACAGCACCGTGTAGTCTGCATCCTAACACGTGAATATGCCGTGGCTCAGAGATTGAAATAGGAAGCCTGGAGCCATGGATTCAGATCTTGGCAGGAAAGGCTCAGCCATTCATCCTGCCAAGGTAGATAATCGATTGCTGCGCAGTTTGTGCTCTCTGCCTGTTCTTCTCTTTTGGATGAGACCTTAAAAACTGGTCTGTGCATGGACATTAGAGATCCAATGGGACACGGCTTATCAGGCCAGCCTCCGGTAGGCTGGGGGTGGGTGCAAATGGGAAAGCTGCCTTGGGGCCTGATGATCGAAAGAAAGGTCAACCGCTCCTTCCTGCCACTACCATGACAGCGGCAGCAGCTGGAACCCTGAGTCCTTTAAATTGCTGCCAGAGCCCCAGGTAGCACAAACTGAGTCTGGGGGAGTCCAACCCCCAGCCCCTCTGCTTTCACCCAAGGCCCTGCTCCTTCTGGGCCCCAGAGCTGCCAGTGTTCCCTGCCCTCTGCACCCGGTGAAGTCTGTCAGCCTCCCTGCTGCTCAGAGCCAGGGTTTGCTTTGGTGTACAGTCTGTAAGCTGACCACATTCACCCTAGAAGTGGCTCCCTTTCCATGGCTCCGAACTTGGTTAATGGATCCTTTGGCTTTAATAGTTGATAAACGTAACATTTGTATCATTTCATGCTGAGGAGAATGCTGAGACTTTCTGGTCAGTAACTTAGTCTTGGGGTCTCTCTCTTTCCAGCTCCCGGAGATGCACACCAACAGCTGTGACAACATTTCCCAGTTCTCTGTGGACAGCATCACCAGCCAAGAGAGCAAAGAGCCTGTGTTCATAGCAGCTGGCGATATTAGGTAACAGTGAGCTTGTGTAGTGGGTGGGAGATTTCCCTTGCTGTAACAGGGATTCTTCAGCACTGTATAGCTGGAGATGGGATTCATTGTCCTTATTTTAAAACCAGTCTTTGTATCCAGTGGGGACGAGTAACACAGGGTATCTCCATTAAATCTCCGGAGAAGAAGTCCATTAGTCAGTACTTCTTGTCTTTCTCGCTAAGCTTGAGCACCCAGTGGCTTGTATATTGGGCAGGTAAGAGCTGAGTACCAGCTGTGTGTAATGAGATGTTCAGTATGAATTAATTCCAAATCCTTTTCTAAGCAGCTGGGCACTGGGTTCTCTTGTACCAAAGCAAAGCTCAGTATCTTTGAAAACTAGGAGCAAGACCAAAGTCAAAAGATAAATTCTTCATTGGGGAGGCAGCTGACCAATTAGTAGCCAGTTGTTGATGGCATGTGGTATGAGCAGGCATTGCTACAATCAATTGGAGAACTCAGCTAAGCAGGGTTAGGCCAAGTCAGTGCTTGAAAATGTTGAGGTACTATAAGAGCTAGAGTTGATGGTTCAGTTGGTGGAGCTCTTCTTTGGAGACGGTATCGATATAGCCTGTTAGCTCACTTTCGGAAGGTGGAATGTTGCTGAAAATGGACTCGCTGGAATGAGACTGAAGATCTGTGGTTCTGTCTACATATGGTCTCATTGACATAGTGGTGAACGCCCCCGTTTTTCTAATTTGGAAGAGTGTGTTCAGCCCATTAAAAAAAAAAATTACCTGTTCTGCTTCTGTGGGATACCACGTTCGTCTTAGTCCTTACACTGCAATTTAGGGTTCTTAAACAGCTGTTACATTCCACTCCAAAGCAGAGGCGGCATTTCAGTGAGGGGTGAAGTGATTCCCTGACTATACAAGCTCTGTAAGGTGCTTTGGGCTGAGATGTATAAGATGGTATCAGATTCTCACTGGAGCATCTTCCTTGCATTTTGTCATGACTTTTATAGACGGCGCCTCTCGGAGCAGCTGGCACACACCCCAACATCATTCAGGAGAGATCCCGAGGATCCTTCTGCGGTTGCCCTGAAGGAGCCCTGGCAGGAGAAAGTCAGGTATGAGCAAAGGTGGTCGGGTTCATGAGAGCTCAATTGCCCCCATTCCTGTAATAGGCCCATGTTGAAATCCTAGCTACATCTCTGCAGAATAGCTTCCCTTATGGCTGCCAGTGCTGATTTCCTCTGTAAGTAAATGCGGAGCCTCAGCTTTGGGCCTTGGCAGCCTTTAGGGAGTAAATATTGACTCAGGTTCAGTTTATCCAAAACAAAAGGGCCTCCATACACAGCACTGATTGATTCAGGCCCTTTTTCCAGGGTGCTCAGTCCCCTCAACTTGGTGTTTGGCTTATTTTTTAGGGGTGTGTGAATGTGGGTAGGCAGGAAAGGGAGTAGAAAAGAACCTTATTTCCTTCCATTACTGCTCCATTGCTACTTAATTCCTGATGCTGTACAGACAGACATCTTCTCTGCTTGTTTAACGGTGCTTGGTCAGGGCCCTATTGTGACAGTGCTGTATAAACATCATAAATGACTGTCTCTGTTCCAAGAACTGCCAGGCCTGAGGCCCCAAGTCAGCAAAGCACCGAAGACTGTCCCTCTTTACACACGCTTAAGTGCCTTGCTGAATCAGGGCTTAAAAGAGAGCTCCTCTCTGGCTGTAAAAGAGAATCAACCCCAGCCTAGACATTCTTGACTAGAAATCCACCTCTTGGTATGATAGACTTATAGCTGCTGTCTTGTTACTGTGCTGTTGTGCTAGGCTCTCTCCAGAGATGTTGTGGAGCAGAGAGAGGCTCTCCTTTCTTTGTAACCCGTTGGGATTTCTCCACAGGCGGATCAGGGAAGGCTCCCCTTATGGCCATCTCCCAAACTGGCATCTCCTCTCTGTGATTGTGAAATGTGGGGATGACCTCAGGCAAGAGTTGCTAGCGTTCCAGGTCCTGAAACAGCTGCAGGTAGGAAAGAGCAAGACCCCCAGCTGCTCGTGTTGTGGGTTGGTAAATGCAGGCCGTTGGTGGGTGTGACACATAGCTCTCTCTTTCAGGCTATTTGGGAGCAGGAGCGCGTGCCCTTGTGGATAAAGCCATACAAAATCCTCGTCATCTCCGCAGACAGCGGCATGATCGAGCCGGTTGTCAATGCAGTGTCCATCCACCAAGTCAAGAAACAATCCCAGCTCTTGCTGCTGGACTACTTCCTCCAGGAGCACGGCAACTACACTACTGAAGCATTCCTGACGGCCCAGAGGAACTTTGTGCAGAGCTGTGCTGGCTACTGCCTGGTGTGTTACCTGCTACAGGTCAAAGACAGGTGGGTCCTGTTTGTTGGGGTAAAGAGGCTACAGTTTGAACACACACAATTTCCACGTCATCCTTGTCCACTAGCCCTTGGGACCAACTCCTGGGAGGCATCAGTCAGGGAACTGGTATCTTAAGTATTGACACTTAAAGTGTATTTAAACCCCCCCAGGGGCGCAGTAAGGCTTGAAGGCATTTCCAAAACTGCATCCGTTACTCAAGGTGCCACTTGCCTCAGTCTTTGTCTTCTTCCCCTCCCTGCTTTATGCAGCAGGGAATCCCTGGTAGCATCGACCTGCTAGCAGGGGAATCCAAGCAGAGGGTGAAGTGTCTGGTGTGTGACCTTAGAGGAACCTGACATTTGAATAATAGGAGTTGTTAGCTGTGCTGCTCAGAGCGCTTGCTGTGTGATCACAGGTTGTTTTGTAAGCAATAACCCCCCACCCTCCGTGAATATATCCAGTTAATACGTTATTTTTGGATAGTGCTGCACAAGAGGCAGAGAAGAGAGGCAAGCAGAGAAAAGATCCAGCCCTGTGTGTCCTTGGCGTTGGCAGGTGACACTACTGGTTTAAACTAAAGCCAGTACCTGTTTGCCTTACTTAGTAGTCTTCAAGCACTTGCTTCCCTGCAGTGGATGAGTATGTAGCAGCTATTTACTGTGCGTGTGGTTCTCCAGCTCCAAGTAACTGGCAGGGAGATGGTATCTGAAATACAGGCTAGTTGATCGTTTTGTCTCTCGTTCTGTTTCCCCTCCAAGACACAATGGCAATATCTTGCTGGATGCCGATGGACACATCATCCATATCGATTTTGGATTCATTCTCTCCAGCTCCCCCAGGAACCTCGGCTTCGAGACATCAGCCTTCAAGCTCACCACGGAGTTCGTTGATGTAAGTGAGCTATAGCTAAATTCTGCCAAGGAGCCTTGTGGTTTGAGGCACAGGATCAGGAGCCAGGAAATCTGAGTTCTTTTCCCAAGTTTGGGAGGATGTGTGGTCTAGTGGTTAGAGCCAGGGATTGGGACCCCAGACTACTGTGTTCTCTTCCATTTCACACTTCCTCTGTGTTCCTGGACAAATCCCTTCTTCTCGAGGCATTGGCTTTCCCATCTGTAGAAGAGGAATGATCCCTACTTCTTGTGGAAGAGTATATGAGAATTGTAATTGATTTCTGTAAAATATTCGAAGGAACAGAACTATAGAAAAGTCCATTTTCTTATTCCTTAAAGAACTCTGACCCCAGAAAGAAATCTGGTATAGAAGTGCAGTCTTGCCACAAAGTTAGCTCCTTCCGATAAAGATGCTTTCCCAGCTGCCTTTCCTGGCGGGGCTGGCATTGAAATTTCCTCTCCAAGGAATGCTTGGGTCATGCTCACTCTCTGATCTGCTCTCCAGGTCATGGGCGGTCTGGATGGTGACATGTTTAACTACTACAAGATGCTGATGCTGCAAGGCCTCATCGCTGCCCGAAAGCACATGGACAAAGTCGTGCAGATTGTGGAGATAATGCAGCAAGGTATGGCGCTGCTTGCCAGCCTCGTGGCTCCAACCCGCTCTTACGCATGACAGGCGTTGTGCTCATCTGTGCAGTGGAAAGGGAGACAGCTCGATGCTTTGACATGAGTAGCCAGAATGTTGCTTCTTGTCTCTGCCCCCCAAATGGTTTTCCTTTTCATTGAGCAGCATTGGGCAGGCAGTGGCGACTGGTGAGGGGGGATGCAGGCGCCACCAGCCATGTGCTCCCCTCCATCCCAGGGAAGCACCAGAATTGTCCACTTATGCCCTAAGTAAGTGTTTCCCAATTGGTGCCCTGTGGAACCCTGGGGTTCCGCGACACGAAAGTAAGGTTCTATGAGAACTTGGCGCTCCCCTGCTCCCTCTTAAAGAGACAGAGCCTTTTTGCATTGGGACTTGGCTCGACAGATTTTACCCTGGCAACTCTAGGGGTTCCTTGAAATTCTTTCAAGCTGAAAAGGGTTCCATGGCCAAATAAAATTAGGAAACACTGGCCCAAAATCATGCTTCTCCCTGCTCCTGCTGTGTCTCATCCCTGCCCTTGCTCCACCCTCTCCCCACCTCTTCCCCACCCCTTCTATGCCTCTTTCCCCAACCAAAGCAGCTCAGCGGAGTAGCAGGGCTCTGGGGCTGCACCGGTAGTGGAGGTCTGGCCACCTTGAACTCACCAGCAGCAGCAGAGGAAGTGGAGTATCGTAGCCTCAGCTAACTCTGCTCCTCTAACTGTGTTGCAGTTCTGCCCCTCTCCTGAGTGACACAGTGATGCCTGGGAGCTGCAGGCAGTGCAGCCCCCTGCTGTGGGCACCAGGTACCCCATCACTAACCCCTCCCCCCCCCCGCATTGCCCATGTGGGCAAATGTTAAACATCACGTGTAAATTTGGCAGCTCAGACAGTTTAGTTTCTGGTGCCTTCATGTAAAACTGATGTTGGCTGCATGATGCATCCACATAAAACTGCTTGAATTGTAGTGATTTGATTATAGAAAATGCAGAGCTTTTGTGTAATGGTGAGAGCAGGGCCCTGGGATTCAGGTCACCTGTGTTCTGTTCTTTGCTCTACCACTCGCTCTGTGTGTGACTTGGGAAGAGTCATGTAGGGCTTGATCTTCAGAAGTGCTGAACAACGCCCATGAGGCCAGCGGACATGAGTGGGCGCAGCAAGTTCTCTGACTTAAAAGTTTCTGTCAAGTGGAGGTCTCTGCCTGTCTGAAGGCGTTGTGAGGATTAGTGTATAGAACACTCTCTAAGCTCCTGTGAGAGAGAGAGCTAGCGGAGAATGATCATTATGCCCCTGTGAAAGCATTGCGTAGAACTAAGCCTTCAGTCAGATGGCTAATGCTGGGAACCTGCAGCACACTTTGATCCTACCTCATCCTGTGTATTTTGTCTAACCTTCTATTTAACTGTGGTGCGTGGGGGTTGCTATTGAAAGCTAAATAGGTTTGGCAAGACCGAGGTTCTGAAGAACAAGCTCCCGGCTTGCTGATCTTGACTCCTTTATTTAAAATGTAGTTTGCGATGTTGCCTGACATAGTGAAAATTGTTAACCCTAATGCTCCTGTGGACACCTGAAGTGTGGAGAGAAGCAAACCAATAACTGAGCGTGTGTCAGTTTGTCCTCTAGATTGCCAGAGATGTTACGGAGAAAGGCAGCAGAGCCTGGTCCATACGATAGCGCAGGTCGTCTGTGAGTGTCAGGAAGCAGAATAGAATATTCACAGATAAGTTTTCCATTGTATGAGGTCTTAAAGGGCTAGCAGCCCAGTGCTCCCCAGCCAGTAGTGTATGTCCTGGGACTGGAATTTTGAGCCCCTATGAGGGGAATCTCTGCAGGGACCAGCCTGCCACCAGCGTGCCCTCCATCCTGCTGAGCATGTTCAGACCTGCCATGAGACCTGTGTGGAGCCTGCAAGAGACAGGAAATGTCCAAACGCAATGACAGGTTAGAGCAGCTCCAGCTGAGTGATAGGGGTAAGAGTTGGCTGGGACAGCTGAGATCCTAGCCTGGTAAATGTACCAATACACCAACCCCACTGCAACAGAATTAAAATACTTTGTGCTTTTCCATATTCGCTATCTTTCCCTTATAGGGTCAGGGAAGATGTCCCAAATGCAGGGTACAGCTTTGCAACTGCGACCCTATGGTCAAGCTTTCGCATGGTTAGAGCAGAGAACTGGGAATCTGGATTCCTGGGTTCTCTTGCCAGCCTGGTCATGTAAACATGCGAAAAGGAAATCAGGAATGTTACAATATCTACAACTTTATTTCCTTTTTATCACACCCTAAGTTACCTAACTTAGCGGTGTGGAAATAACCATCCATTTTTATATCATTGCTGTGTTAGGTCCCACCTACCAGTAAGTGAATTGGATCTGTTCCCCTTTGAAATTATACAGAGGGTATTAGAGATTAACATCATTGTTTTGCTGATGACTACACAGCTAGTTCGCAGCTCTCCCAGTGGCATGTTAAACATGCTTGAAGCAGTTCATAGATTCTTAGAGCTTAAGGCCAGAAGGGACCGTTATGAGCATGCAGTCTGCCTGCCTGTAGTCCTCAAACATAATTACCGCTACAGTGCATTGAAACACCATTTACCTCCACGCACACCCAGTTGCTGAGAGAGTTTCCACCATTCATCAGCTCGAGTGACACACTGACCCTCTGTGTGCTGTCCAGCCACTCAGACCAGAAGCTAGCAGCAGCCTTGTGGGACCATTTCCAGATGACTTGTTGCGAGTGTGGTTCACCATTTCCTTTGCAGTCCAGTAGCCCTCCAGCACCACGCGAGGACTCTCGCAACAATTTTGTGAACATTCAGAATAACGAGTTGGTATCCCTCATGCTGCGTCAGCAGCTCTTCCACCCTCCCTTTTTCCCGCTGAGTTTGGCTAAAGTCGCATGGTGGGGTGAGTTGGGAAGAGCCCATGTGAAGGTATCACAGTTCAAAATCTGCGCGGTGCAATAGTGGAAGGAAATGGGGAATCGGTCACATTCCTCCACTTGGCACTTGTTGCAAGCATCCACCTGGCAGGGACTGGCTTTCAGCTATAGATCAAACTGTATTGTATTGGCATCCTGGGAGCATTTTTAAGTGATTGCTTAAGAAATAGGGGGTTGTCCATTTGTTTGGGCTTTGCCCACTTTTCTGTGTTAGATGCCCTGTAAGTAGACAACTTAAGCACCACTCAGCACACAGACATAACATGGTGTCGACTGGTCTGTTAATCCTGGCCTGGATGAGTTAGCCACCTTCAGTTGCAAGACGAATTTATCTCCTTGCTTATGCTGACAACCAGATCTCCAGCTGCAGTGAATGGCTGCTGCTCCATTGGAACTAGTGGGGCCAGATTCCCAGTGGGCGTATGTCTGTGCATCTCCATTGCAGTTGATGGAATGTCTCCGTTTTCCACCAGCTGACAATGTAGCCCAATGCTGTGGTTGTGAACACATGTTCTTGTAGCTTCCCAGTGCAGAGAAGACCTCAGAGGGAGCCTCAGGGCAGGTTTCACTGTCATTACTAGACAGCAGTTGCAAAACTTGCCTCCCAAACCAGGCTGCTGCGCTTCTCTCAATTATTCTATGTAAGTTCTTCCTGCTGCTTTGAAATTTGCTGTTAACTCTGCTTCTTGTCTCCTCCCCCCACGCCACCCCAACCTCCTCCCCTGCTGTGCTAGGTTCTCAGCTGCCCTGTTTCCATGGCTCCAGTACCATCCGCAACTTGAAGGAGCGTTTCCACATGAACATGACTGAGGAGCAGCTGCAGATGCTCATTGAACAGATGGTGGATGGCAGCATGCGGTCGATCACCACCAAGCTCTATGACGGCTTCCAGTACCTCACCAATGGCATCATGTGACGGTTGCGCCCCTCCCACCGATTGGAGGTTGGCTTTTGCCGCAGCCACAGTGCCCAGCTGGAGTCTGACCACCTGGCCACGGGAAAAAGTCTCGCCCCCTGTGGAGACGGGAGTCGAGCAGTAGCACCTCCCAGGTGCCAGGTTTACCAGACTCTCAAACAAGCAACAACAAAAAACAGTGTTCTGAGAAGCAAAACCCATGCGTGAAATTGACTAAAACAAAAAGGATCATGTGGCAACAATTGTGATCACGTTTAATGTGACCGCAGGGTCCAGGGGTTGGTGAGACAAAAGCCATCAGTGCTCTGTAGATGACAGAGCATCTGCTAGACACCAGAACCATGTGTACATCTGTTCCTCCCATCATTTCAGTATTATGCCTGTTGATGTCCTGTGAACTCTTCCATGATCTCATAAACGTTTAGGGCCTGGGGTGGTGGTGGGCCCAACATCCTCCTCCCTGGGTATGGTATTTGCCGATACTTTGACCCTTCTGCTAGCACCACTTGAATGCAGTTATGGGGAACCCCCTGTACAATATTGTCAGCATTATTTGTCTTTCCTAATATTGGTTTGGCTTTTTTCACACTTTGCACATTTTTAATGTAAGTTTAAGTTGCAAGTCAGGCAGCAGACCTGTCGAGATCAGAGGAAAGTAGCCACAACTCATGTAGCACAGTCTTCACTTTCTGGAGTGCAGGGTTATTCGGACTTAGATATTTTTGTTTCCTTTTATCCACTTCTCTCATGGGCTGGCCATGCGATCGCATGTTGGTCTTGCCTTTCCTTGGGCACCTTTTTGACTTTGTTCCACAAATCTGGGGCTGTGAAACTTTCCCTTCCCCCCCAGTAATATCAGACTTAATGCTTCATGGGTTTGTACCGCACTGAATGTCTTGTCCTTGGCTAACGATCCCAGTGGTACTTGGCCCTGAACTCGCACTTCCTTGAACTCAGCAGCAAGGCTGCACATTGCTTTGTGTGTGGTATCTGCACGGGGGTTACGTTTGTGTGGATGATGAGTTTTTACGTCTGCCTGGATCGAACCTCTAAAAGCAGCATGTTCCTTGTCTCGTCCCTCCTTGATGTCGTAAATTGCCCTGAACCAAGTTTCGTGGCTCCAAGGGCGTGAGGCAAAACATGGACTAACGTTGCTAGTTTTTTCCCCTAGGGTAACAAGGCTAATCCGTTTTACCTTGCTAGCACACCTAGCTAGAGTTCAGGAGAAAGGGATTGGTTTTTGTTTTTCAGTGAGCAGTTTTAAGTAAAGTGATCATGTTAGTTTTTCTTCCCCAGAAACAAGTCAAAAGCAGATGCTGACAAGCACAAAATTGTTGCAAAGAACCTGTAGAAAGCAGCCTTGAAGTTGGAAGTCCAAACTGTCTGGCGCACAGATCCAAGGCACAGAAATAACTCTGCTGGGCTAATTTCATTTTTAAAACTCCCTTTTCACTACTATCCAGCTGAGAACATCTGTACTTTATAAAGAACAGCAAGGTCTGATTTGTTGAAGCTTCTCCATTTCTTTGTATTGATATAACTCTATTTAGACACAAGTCCCTTCCCTTGTCCTCTGTCCCTTCAGTGTTTTGGACTTCCTGCAGTTGCAGATCAGATAGTGGAATCCTTTAATACCTGAATGTGTGTGATTTGTTACCTCAGTCCTTGTTCTCCATCCCCTATTTACTTCTCTATGTGGACTCTCGTATTAATAAGTATGTTTGTTTAGTGCTACTTTACCATGTTGATTATTTAGCATTTTTTGAACTGTATCATAAAATTATGGGATAGAGGTTTCTGGCAGGACAAGGCAGTGCTTCAGTGTTTTGCACCTAATTCACAGAAGTTCAAACCGCTGCGTACCTCCAGCAGTCCAACAGATGAGCCGTAAGCTAGACTTAACTTTCTTCCAATTGCAATTAAAACATACCTGGGAGAAGGGGGGGTGGGCAGAGGGCAGCATAATCTTGTGTCACTCCATGAGTTCAAAACTGGCTGTTCTTGTTGCCAGTCTAGAAATCGATTGTCAAAACTTAAAATATGGCTTTTTACTGTCCACTGAAGGAATTATGAAAGGTCTGAAACTCTTTTCCTCCTCTGCAGTCGCTGTGCCCCCGTGCTTCAACTTCCACAGTTCCATTGAGCCTTTGAAACGGACCCTGTCATTTGTGTTACAGGGTCTATTTCATTTCCTGAAATGTTGACTTTGTGAGGAGTGGGGAAGGCTTGGGTAGCAATATGCAGATCCTTGCTGGTGGAAATAAAAAAAGGACCTAGTTGCTTTTGTCTGTCTGTCCATTCTGTTTTTAATTTTTCCCTTTAAGTTCCTCCTTGTAACATCTGTTGCTACCCAGCTGTTCCCGGAGCAGCCAGCAATGGCTTGGAAAAGGGGCCGTAGTTTTTTAAGGAACTATCTGAATTTCTGTGGGAAAGACCCCACGTTGCAGCATTAGAGGGGTGGAGGTAGACTGGTGATCAGCATGTGGGATGGCATGATTTTGGTCTAAAAATAAGGCCAAAAAGTAACTATGAATGTCAGAAAAATGAGGGGTACTTGTCACAGGTTTGTAGCTTACAAGCAGATTTGCAGGCTGCTACGTTGACTGGGCTTACACTTCTGTAATCAACCTGCAGCGGTAATTCTAAGGGTAGCAATTATTGTTTGTGGACCATTTTGGCTACTCCTACATTTTGAAGCTGAGAGAGGATAATTTTAAAACTTTGCAATTGGCTTGATTTTTTTATTGTGTGTGTGTGGGGTTCACTGGGATTTAACTTTTGGGTCAAATTTAGGCTTTGTTTACTCATTTGTATGTAACTTTGCAGCCTGTTGAATTGTCAGAAAACTGATTTACTGTACTTGCTAGCCTGATGTTTCAGCTTCTGCCTCAACTCAGACTTGTTTGGCTGTGGAAAAGCCCCAAACAGACACTTTGAATGACTCCATCTTGTTATTTAGCTTCCCCTTCTGTATTTCTACTGTCCTGGAAATGAACTGCAACCAGGTTCCTTTTTAAGCGTAGCAAAAGACTGATGGACACCCCAGGATCTTACATGATGTGCCAGTGGCAAATTACCAGTAAAATGGGATACTTGATACAAGTTACCCAGCCAGTTGTACAACTTCTGCAGACCTTTGCTACGTAATCTGGATGGGACCCTTTGGAGTGTAGTTTTCATGTAACATCATCGTGCAAAGAGGAAAGGGACAAAATTATAATAAATAGGCCATACTCATGGCCTCTCCTGGAACTTAAGCGAACACCCTTTCTGAGAGCTGCTGCTGGCTACACGGACTGTGTGTGAACCTTTCAGTGGGTGGGGATTTTTTATTTTCCTATTCAGTAAGGATGGGCCAAACTCAGAAATAAAATATCCAACCGGAACTTGATTTCTAATAAAATGTCCTTTTAAAAAACAAACAGAAAAGCTGGTGCAGAAATTGTCCATTGCATCTCGTTAATTGCTGACGCCTTAAGAAAAAGCTTCCAGGGGAAAACTCTGGTGGGAAATACTGTTTTGCGTTTCCTACGGATTCCGTGCCTGCCTCTTATTCACACTCCTAGGTTTGAACAAAGCAGGTAGACAGAGTTTGACTGGCAAGGCCTGGCTTTCAGGTCAGAGCTCGTTCTTTTAATCTCTTTTGAATGCTAAACCTCATCAGAGGATTTCCAGGCGCTGCACTCACGTGAGTATTATCCTCATCTTACACATTAGGGGACTGAGGCATTCTGGTGCAAGTTGATCCATGTCCTATAGCAAGTGAGTGGCAGAGTGGAAGGATGGTCTTGTATTTAAGGTGCTGGAATGAGACTCAGAATGGAAATGTCTACAGATGGCCATGGTAGATCTGGGGAGTATTGGGAGTCAGATTAGCTGGTGAAGGGCATGACATTTTACTTGAGTTAGCAGCCCTACAGAGCCAGCTGAGCCATGGCAGAGTGGGAGCTGCCTTCTCTTCCCCGTTGTGCATCATTAACAGAACGGTTGACTGAAGTCTAATCACTCAACTCCGGTGCCTCCCCACTGGCAGTCTTTGGGTAAGGCAAGTCTCACTGAGGGAGCTTCCAACAGTCATGAGGATGCACCGAGGTCCCTGAGCTCTGGTGATGATGGAGACAAAGGAAAGCGCCCTGCTTCCCATTTGGCTCTCCAGCTGGATTACTGAGCTGAGGATGTGGGTGATGGAGTTGGAGACGTTGAGCCGGGAAGCCAGCAAGAACTTTCGGGGCGGGGAGAACCCACCTCAAAGAACATTCTGAAATCTGCTCATCAGTTGCAGTGTAAATAAGTTCCAGTCAGTATGTAAATAAGGCGGCTGGTTTGTGTCCATGGAAAACTGGCCCGGGGCCCCCAAATACCTGTCTATTGGGAATGGGTCTGTCACTAATAACCTACCAGCTGGAGCACGCTCTGCTTCCAAAAGAGCATCCACATTCCTACCTCCTAGACCAGGGGTGGGGAATCTAAGACCTGGGGGCGGGTAATGCGGCCCCTGGCTTGCTTGCATCCAGCCCCTGAGGCTTGGAGATCCCCCTGCAGCATTTGAGAAGCAGAGCTGGTGCTCCAGCCCCACACCCACATCAACTCCCCTGTGGGGCTGGATCACAAAATTGTTACCAGCCTGGGCCCTCTAGGTTCTGGTGTGCAAGGGGAATGCGGGGAGTGTGTCTCTCCTCGGTCGGGGGCCAAATCAGTGAGGGTTGGTTTTTTGGCTTTTTTGCTTCTCGTATGCAGCCCCCGACTGATTTTTCTGTAAGTCAGCAACCCTGGACCCAAAAAAAGCTTCCCCACCCCCTGTCCTGGACAAAAAGACAGAGGTGCTAGGGTCATGAGTCACTAGCAGAGCTAGGAATCCTGACTCCTGTCCTATGACTCCCCACACTAGGCTGCATTTGATCCCACCTGCAGGAGAGGGGAAGTCTCTGTACCCTGTTCCCATGTGCCTGGGCTGGCTGGCCCCAGGCAGGGTGCTGGGAAATGGGAGGGAGGTGTTTAGAAGGGTGTGAGGCTGCAGCCCTGTTCCCTTCTGCCTGAGACTGGGATCCCTGCACTGGCAGGGGCGCACTCAATGGTTTTTAAACTGGCATGTAGCCCAGCTCTTCAGTGGTTTCTGCTGGGTCTGTGCAGAATTGGGTGTGGGCGAGCCTCATAAGAAAGAGGGAGTGTTCTGGAAAGCAAGGCAGCCTACTCCCTGCGCTGGACAGCCACACCTGTTTGAGGCCAGAAGGGATCTGCAATAGTGTGGGGGGTCACATGGGCGCTCTCCCTGGTGTCCAGGTGTAGCGTTTGCATCTCTGCCTCGGTTTCCCCGCTGGGTTTTCAGTAAGTTCAGCGATGCTTTTGTGGAGCACCTTCATTTAAACAAAGGCTAATCAGCTGTGCAGCAAGTCTTCAACTCCCGCTTCCTCGGGAGGGACGGGGGAGGCTAATTTTAATCATCCCCACCCAAGTCCCTCAGTCCTGGCTCATCCCCAGGAAGGCCCTTCAAGATGAGATCCTACTCCACAGTCAGTGTCTCCTGTCATCCCCTAGGGGAGGATCCCTCTGGACTGGGGCCTCTTCAGAGAGGTTGCATCACTGTAGTTCTTTGGAACATAGGGCTAAGCCACTCTGCCTTCTCAGGAGCAGCTCCCGCCAGCAGGACCGTTCCTATGTCCCCTTTTCAGGTGAGCTCTTGAAACATCTCTGAGTAACCCCTCGGCTCAGGAGCAGCTCTTGTGTTCTGTGGCTCCCTGCTGAGCCCCCATACCTCTTTATAATGCCAGACAGGTGTTGAATTCACTGCTGCCCAAGTCACCTAGGTAACTAACTACTCCTGGGTGAATCTAGGTGGGGTCTTTCTCCTTAGCAGAACCTGTCAAAGGTTGGCTGGGTGCTTGACCCCATAAAAGGGTATAGGTCATTAGGGTAATTTTAATCCATAAACTGTATCCAGGACACATTTAGGGACGGGATGAGACGCACTCTTTCACCTGCCTGCTTCTTTCCCCTGCCGAAACCAGCACATGCACTTCATGCTTGCTCCAACTTGCTGATTGTGGTAGCTACAGCCGTATTCACCCAGCAGCTAGTACAGCCCAAAATCCTGAGCAGTCCAAGCTGTTAGCCCTGTTAGATTGGCCTGCGCCACCAGGCCTGGCACTAGCACCCCGGCTGAGTTAGTGTAGATGGGACTGTATCTCAGCTGGACAATCTGTGTGTCTAACTCTGGCCAGAGCTGGTTTCTAGGAACTGCTGCTGGAAGCCTCACCCGTCAGGGACGTGCCTGGGCAGAGCAGAGTGGCTTGCATGTGTAATTTCTCTAGCATAGGTGGAACCTTTTGCTGTTTGAAAATGCAGATCCTGTGAGAGATGAGTAGTAATCTCTTCCAGGGGCTGTAACTCTCCTACATTGGACTAAGTTCATCTTTCTTTCTTTTTTTTTTTTTTCCTGTTTGTTCTTCTCTTAAACCCTGCATAGTCCAACACCTTACTTCTGCTGGGCTTGGCCATGTTCCTTGCATTAAAGGGAGCATGGCCTCAGTTAAGCAGAGCCCATACGTGTGTGCCTAACTCCCAGAGACTTCCATGGGATTTAAAGTGAATGGTGATAACCCCTACCTCTTGTCTACCACTTTCCATTAGTAGAACTCAAAGCACTTTACCAAGGAGGTCAGTATAAGTATCTCCAGTCTACAGAGGGCGAAAATGAAGCACAAAGCAATGCAGTGACTTGCCCAAGGCCACCTAGCAGTGTCAGGGATAGAACCCAGATCTCTTGAGCACTAGTTGGCTACCAATGTACTTTGCTGAACTGGGTTACCGCTGCCATGTCGCCAGTGACCTTGCTTCTGGGGCTTTTCTACTTCCAGTAACAATTCTGTAAGTCTAAAATCTCTTCCGGGGGGGAGGGGTGTCTCTCTAAGTCTATCGTTCTCCATTGAACTACCAAGCGCCAGCTTTCCTGACCTGCTCATTTTCTGGACTGTGGTAGGAACAATTATTTCTGTATTCCTCAACCTAGCCCTTCCTGGGCTACTGGGGTGAGGCCTACACTCTAGCTGCTACAGTGGCAGCTGCATTGCAGGGTTACGTCTACACTGGCCCCTTTTACGAAAGGGGCATGCTAATTTTAAACTTCGTAATAGGGAAATCCGCAGGGGACTTAAATATCCCCCACGGGATTTAAATAAAGATGTCCGCCGCTTTTTTCCGGCTTGGGGAAAAGCCAGAGAAAAGCGTCTAGACTGGCCCGATCCTCCAGAATAAAGCCCTTTTCCGGAGGATCTCTTATTCCTACTTCAAAGTAGTTGCCCACGAAAACTCATATATTTGTTAGTCTTTAAGGGTATATCTAGACAGCGGAGCTATTTCAGGGATACCTCCAGTATTCCAAAACAGCTATTCCATGTCTTTTACATGCGCTTGCTATTTCAAAATATATTTTGAAATAATGAGCGCACTGAAAGAATTGGGCTTGTTTGGTTTAGAAAAGCGAAGACTGAGAGGGGATATGATAGTAGTTTTCAAATACAGGCAGTCCCTGGATTACATGGATCTGACTTACATCGGATCCCTACTTACAAACGGGGTGAGGCAACCCAGCACTAGCTACTTCCCCCCAGCAGACTAGGGAGACGCGAAGCTAGTGCCTCACCCAGCAGACCAGGGAGACGCGGGGCGGCTTTTCTCAGCAGACACCTCAGCTTGAGAATAAAGGACTGAGGGAAGTGAGGTGTGGGAGAATAAAACTAAGCTCTGGAGAAATGTTTGGCTAGAGTTTCCCCTACAATATGTACCAGTTCCGACTTGCATACAAATTCAGCTTAAGAACAAACCTACAGTCCCTATCTTGTACATAACCCGGGGACTGCCTGTACCTAAAAGAGTGTTACAAGGAGGAGGGAGAAAAATTTTTCCTCTTGGCCTCTGAGGATAAACCTGTTCCAGCTCCACACAGCCGTAGGTAAAACCAGGTGTAAGAAGCCTCTAGACCATGGCTTCCTAAACTGGGTTGCGTAAAGAAATTCAGGGGGGGCGCGAGGCGACCCAGCCTCCTCCTCCCCCATCAAGTTTTGCTGCCCCACTCAGTTCCTTTTTTTTCTCAAGTTTTGCTGCTTTTTTTGGGGGTGGGCATGAGGGTTTTTTCAAAAATCAAGGGGGGGGCGTGATGCTGAAAAGTTTGGGGACTACTGCTCTAGATGGTACTGGGTCCCACCATGAGGGCAGGGGACTGGACTCGATGACCTCTCGAGGTCCCTTCCAGTTCTTCTGTTCTATGATTCCGGCCTGCCTTTGCCCCTCGTTCCTTGAGGGTTAAGCAATGTCTTGAAATAGTGCATTATTCTGAAATTTGGTGCTGTGTAGACAGCACCAAATTTCGAAATACATTTGAAATAAGCAATGCCATTTAAATAGCATAAATTGTGTAGCTTATTCCGAGATAAGGGTGCGTCTAGACAGCACCCTTAGGGACGACTAACTGGCAGTTTGACAGGATGCATAGTAGTCTCTTCCCCAGACAAAAGAAAAGTCAAAAGATAGGTGAGCGTTTTTTCCTGGCCAAGTGTCTCTCCACTGGTATCTCATAGGGCAGATTCCTTAACTCCTTTCTGAATATATGGGGTATGTGTAGCTGGGCAACCAGTTCACCTTGCAGGTGTAGAGACAGCCCTCCCTGTCAGTTTCCAACCCAGCCCAGTGCTTCCAAGCCCTGCAGTTCCCTTTTCTCCCAGCAGGGGCCAGCAGAGACTGGGGGGGCGCCCTCAGCTGCGCGCAGCTGGCTTTTCGCTCCACCAGGGGGCGCCCTGGCGCGCTCCTCCAGTCCCCTCCTCCCCCATGCCCTGCCCCACCCGGGAGTGTTCCGTGCAGCCAGGCGGACTCCAGGCGTTCCCCTGCCTGCCTGCCTGTACCTGCCTCCCCGCCCCTGAGCCAGCCCCTGCCTTCCATCTTTGCCCAGCCCGGCTGCTCTCCTGCTGCCTCCCCCCCCGCCCGGGAGAGAGCAGCTGCTCCGAAGCCCCCCGCCGCTCCCCCAGGGACTGGGAGAGCCGCAGCAGGACAGGACAAGCTAGGGCCAGCCGGCGCCAGGCATGGGGCCCTGCTAAGCTCCCCTGGGTGGAGGAAGTGGGAGAAAGTCCCTGGGATCCAGCCATGGTGAGTTTCCTGCTCCTCGAGTTTCCTTCCCCCCTTTTGCCCTTTCTTGGAGCAAATTTTGTAAAAGTTTCGCCCCCTCCCCAGTTTAATTATTAGGAATGAGCAGTTTGAAGAGGGGTGTGTGTGTGGGGGGGGGTTGCATCTTAAATCTCCATTCCCTCCCCTCCCCCCCGACAGACACACCTGGGCTCCAGTGCAGCCCGATTCCATGAATCACCTTGCAAAGGGGATAAAAGCAGCTGGAACAGAAATAGTCTCTAGGCTGATTTGTGATTCCCAAGGAACCTTCCTGCCCTTTTCCTTCCTCTGGCTTGGTCCCCTGGGCTGGGCTCCGGCTCCTTTTCTCCGTGGGATCCGCTGGCTCAGAACCTTGGGGGAGGCGGGGGGGAGTGGTTGTGCCTGGATGGTCCCCGCACGTCCCCTGCCTAATGGAGGGGCTTACGTTGCAGTGCGGGTGCCCCATTGCTGCCCTGAATATTTGCTCCCTTCCTTTTGTGAGGGTTGGCCCTTGATCCTGCCTTTGGATTGCTGCCCAGGGGCACTTCCTGCAACCTGGGGGGGGGAGCCTCCTGCAGGCTCGGGGGCTTCCAAAGGACATTTCCTCTGCTGCTGGGCTTCCCACAGGGGTTGGAGAGGAGACGTGACATTTTTCAGGAGTGCGCGTCTGTGGAATACAAAGGGTCAGATCACCCCAGCAACCCCTGAAAGGCGCCTCTTTTCACCTGCTGTCGGATGTTGTATCTAGAATTTCGGCCAGCGCACAGGTTGGACGAAAGGGATCTGAGTCTGATTTTTACTGGCTCTATGATGTGAGGCGCCTTAGAAATGTTTGTACAGCACCTGGTGCCATGAATCCCAGGGCCCCAGAGGCTCTGACTCACCTTTGGGGTGGAGAGTCGCAGCAGTAGTTTGGGCAAAGGAATTTTGGCCAAAGGCATCTGGGACAAATTGCTGCTCTTCTGGAAAGTGCGGGGAGGAGGAGGAGGGCAGGGCAGTGATGGGAGAGGCCACCTCTGGGCAAGGGGTTTGGATCCCAGCTCATGTTTCCTTAACAAGACCATGCTATGCAAGCTGGGGCTGGGCTTTGGTTTCTGAGAACCGTGGCAAGAAAATCTGAGTTCCAGGCGGGTTTGCCAAGGGATTTTTGAGGCGCTCTTTGTGTGGAATGGGCCAGAGTTCCCCTCGAACCAGGCACCGACCCAAATTGCAGGCCAAGGGACTCTCCCTCAGCCCTTGTCTCTGTGGGGAATTTTCCCAGTGTAGCGATTCCAGAAGAGCTTCCGTGTGGACGCTCTATTCTTGAGGAATTACTCCATGCGCAAAGTGCATTAATTACTCCTGAAGACAATCACTTTTATTCTGGAATAGTGTCTCCACATGGGATGCTTACTCTGAAGTTTTAGTGGCGTCTCTGCTGGGTAATTATGTAGCAAAGAGGGGGATGTAAAACACATCTAATTCTGCTCCCCAGCAACCACAAATGTGCGAAAATCAGGAGTAAAGCGTACCAGCTAACCACATGTGGCTGGTGGCGGTGATGCAATTTGAGGTTTTAGGGTTAGATTCAGGCTGGGTTGCTAAGCTTTATGCGAGGGCCAGGATGGGGAGAAATGAGTTCTTTTCTTTTAATTAGGAGCAGACCGTCTCCTCTATTCACCTGACTCCAGCAGCTGGGGCTTGGCTAAGAGCAGCGTCTAGTAAGAGGTAGCAACACTGCTGCCCCAGCATGGATCCAGGCATGTCCTAACACTATTATGACAAGTCCTGCCTTCACTCCCATGTAAGGAGGATTTGGTCAAGCATGCTATCCCGGGCCTGGCCTGCTACTTGTGGGGCAGGCTCCAGGAGGCAGATCCCTCAGAGGTGTGTAGTTTCCAAACCTTCCCCTGCCATGCTTGGGCTTATTGCAGACTAGGGATATAAATAACCATTTAAATAGTTAAGCAGATAAATGACTTAAAATTATAATGTTTAACTGGGTAACCATTGGCGGGCAGCCGGGGCCGGGTTCCTGGGCCGAGTGGGAGCCGCCGGGGCAGGGGTTCTAACGCCTGCTCGCCTAGGCCACTCCAGCATGGCTGGGGCCAAAGTCCTGTCCTACCACCTACCAACACAGTGTGTGGCCAGAATCTCAACTGCCCACCCAGCCCAGGTGTGACCCTGTCTGCCATCCCCACATGGCCGGCTGGATTCACCCAGGGCTCCTCCAGCCTGCCTTGGTTGGCTGTCCAACCAAATATTCCCGTAAGCCTGATGCTTACCAGTTAGCCGTTTACGTCCCTCCTGCAGACCCTGCATAAACAGCAGCTCTCGAGAGGTTTGTGGGAGGAGGTTTTCGGAGCTGCTTATAGACCCATTTGCAATTTGGCAAAATTCAGGGGTGGGGGTGACTGAGCAGAGGTTCCCTCCCTTTGAATGTTTGTTGATGCTTAAAACGTTCTGCAGAACTCTCCCTCGCTGCGTGGGTGTGCGTGGCAACCCAGCCCCCCTTTCTATCCAAATCAGGTGTGGCCATCCAGTAGGCCCCTCACCCCTGGGACAAGGGTTTCAGCCAACCTGCTGAGACCCCGAGGAGGGGGCCTCATAGGGCCTTCTTTGTGATGGGGTTTTGGATCCTGGCAGCTCCTCTCTTCTGCCCCCACTTCCCATTCCCCAAATGCTGATGCAGCTGCAGCCTCTGTGTCCACAACTTTCCTCCCCCACTTCCCATCTATAAAGCCTCCCCTTTCGGGGGTTTATGGTGCTGAAGATGGGGCACTGGCGGGGAATGTCGGGCACTGATTCCAGCCAGCATGGGGCTAGAGATGTAAATATGAGTTAATTGAATAGTCAATTAACCTCATGAATTCTCACCCTTACTCAACTAATCTGGAGTCCTGGAGGGTGGGGCCGGCAGCTGGTGTGCTCCAGCCCCACTCCTGAGGAGCCCTCTGCCACCCCCAAGCTTCTGCCCCTGTATCAGGCAGCAGGGTAGGATGCCAGGCAGAAGCTGGTTCCTCTCGTGGACTAGCTGTCTGTCGCCCAGCGCTGCTGCCTCCAATACAGAGGCAGCAGCGTGGGGTGGCACCAGCCCCTGCCGGGGGTGGGGGTGGGGCTGAGCTTCTGGACCTGTCATGAACCGAAACTGAGACGAGCTGCTGGCCAGCCTGCTAAAAAATGTACTGGCGGGGGTGGGGGAATGCATGTAGTCAGTAGTATGTAAACTTTTGCTTATCCGTTAATTGGTTAATCGACTACATTGTTACATCCCTAATTGGGGCATCCCCATCCTGCCTTTCAGGCCCTACAGGGGTTGCAACTTGCAAGCTGGGATTAGCAGGGGGTCTCCATCTGCGGGCTGTGACTGGGGGGCATGTGCCCTTCCCAGGACGGGGGGATCCCAATTCCTGACTGGATCTTGGTGGCCCGGGCTAGTGGTTGCAGCTCAGTCTCACTGGCTTGGATGGTGAGCATGGACTCTGCTAGCGTCAGTCCTGTGCCTGGATCAGCTGTCCCCTCCGCAGAGCCGCTCTGCTCTGGTAGGTGGCTGCACCCAGTGGGTCATTGGGAAGCTATTAATAGACTGTGATTAACCTGTCATCTATACTGATTACTTGATTAGAGCCCTGGGGTGAGGCTGGAAACCAGCTGTAGGAGGGGAGTGAGGGCTAGTGGGTGGAGCAGCGCAATGGGAGCTGCTGGGTTCTATCCTGTGTGACTTGGAGGGGGCCAGGCTGCCCCTGTGCCTTGCTATCTCTCCCCGTGAGTGGGGGTGGCGGGGTGAGGCAATTCGAGGGCCAGCCAATCTGTAATGTTGTGGGTCCCTAGCGCCTGTTTTTTTGTTTCACAGCAAAACAGGATCAGGCTTCCCCTCGGCTCCTGCCAGACCAGGTCATGGCTGCCCAACCACCAGGCTGGTTAATCCTTAACCTGCGCTCCCTTCCCTGGTGTTTGTACAGCGCAGGATGCAAGGGCCGGGCACCTGCATGCCTGTCTCAGGACAGGGGGCCCCGGGATGGGATCGGGCCTGTGGAGCCATGTGCCAGCAGCCACCCACGCTGAAATGCCTGTCCCAGGGCCGTGATTCTGCTCAGTTGGCTGCCCAACCACCAGGCTGGTTAATCCTTAACCTGCGCTCCCTTCCCTGGTGTTTGTACAGCGCAGGATGCAAGGGCCGGGCACCTGCATGCCTGTCTCAGGACAGGGGGCCCCGGGATGGGATCGGGCCTGTGGAGCCATGTGCCAGCAGCCACCCACGCTGAAATGCCTGTCCCAGGGCCGTGATTCTGCTCAGTTCCTCCTGCC